CTTCAGTAAGAGAAAAGATAATCAACTTGTCAAATTCTTCCTCAGTGTATGCCTGCACAACAAACTACCATTCCCAATACTGCCAAACATCTACTTTCTTGTTTTTCTTTCCATTTCTTTAAATTCTGAAAGTTCTTACAAATTAAAATAATATCTGCAAGATTGGGGTACCTGGGTGGCTCAGTTGGTTAAGCATCTAACTTGGTTTTGGTTCAGGTTGTGATCTCATAGGTTGTGATATCAAGCCGTACCTATATCAGCCTCCATGTTCTGTGGGGAGTCTGTTTGGGATTCCCTTTTCTCCCTCGCCTTCTCCCTCAGCCCTTCCTCCACTCTCTCTCTAATAAACAAGGCCTTTAAAAAAGAATAACATTTGCAAGATTTTGTTCTCATGGCTGAGAATAATTCTGCAGTACTCAGTGTTATGAGTTGAATTGTGTTCCCTCAAAATTCATATGTTGAAGGCTTAATCCCCAGGACCTCAAAATGTGACCTGATTTGGAAATAGGGTCTTTATAGAGGTAATTACATTAAAATGAGGTCATTGGAGTGGGTCCTATTATGACTGGCATCATTATAAAAAGGGGAAATTTGGAGACATGCAGTTGGAGGGAGAATGCCATGTAAATATCATGGCAGAAATCAAGATGATGTATCAACAAGACAACAAATTATGGCAAGTCGCCAGAAGAACAGAGCAATCCTCACAGCCTTCAGAAAGAACCAACCCTGTCAACGTCTTGGTCTAGGATTTCTAGCTTCCAGAACTGCGAGACAGTAACTTTCTGTGGTTTAAGTCAATTCAATATTCTTTGTTACCGTAGCTGTAAAAAACTAATATATTAAGCAGCTCGTATTGTTCTTAAATTTGTGCAAGTATAGGATAATATGTGAAGCATGATGCTGATTTATATGATGAAATCATATATATTATATTTTAGAATAGTATGATACATTAATATAATATTTTATAATATAATGTATAATATCATGTGATTACTTATCATGACCCCGTACATAATATATTACATAATAATATATAATATAATAACATGTAGAATATATATTATAATATAGGTTAATTATTATATTTCATAATACATTGTGAAATCATGTGATTATTTATCACATGACCCCATTATTTTTTTTTAAAGATTTATTTATTTATTTGACAGAGAGAGAGATCACAAGTAGGCAGAGAGGCAGGCAGAGAGAGAGGGAAGCAGGCTCCCCGCTGGGCAAAGAGCCCAATATAGGACTTGATCCCAGGACCCTGAGATCATGACCTGAGTTGAAGGCAGAGGCTTTAATCCACCAAGCCACCCAGGTGCCCCCATGACCCTATTATTATGTTTGAATATGATATATAAAGTTCTTACTTCATTTGTAAATGAAGTATATGAAGTAAATGAATTATAACAATATAATTGTTAGCAAACTGAACTATTGCTTTAGGAATTTCATTGATAATTATAGTTACTGGCTCAGTGGAGTACAGTTTCTTCAAATTAAAATTAGTTTTAAAAAGTAAAAATTACAATAACTCAAGAAAGTTTATCTAATTTGACATTGTTGTGAAAAGAATACATGCTAAAATCTTGTGGAAAAATTTGTAAAATAACAGAGATAGTCATTTTGCTGAACTGAGGGCAATAAAAAATTTTAATGGAACTAATATATAACAATCTATGAATCATATATATATATATCATTATATATACATAATATCTAGCCATGAAAAGAACACCCAGAGAAGCATAATAATGATTAAAAGTAGTCATTTTTGATAGTTCTTGGCTTTTAGTCATATACAAACCATAACTTCTAAGTATTTTTTGATTTTGTCATTATGAAGGTATATTTGTCAATGTGGGAGGACAGAACATATTTCATTTAGCAGTTTGCTAGCTTGATTTATAACTTTTAAATATTTAGACACGCGGTATGTGGGCCTCCACTTGTATTCGTGCCCCAGGCCCTGTAATTGTCAGGGGTGGGCCAGGACCCAGCAATGACAAGAAATAAAGCCTGAAGCTATAAAAAGAAGCCAAAGTAACGTCTCAGACTTGCTCCTACTATACCCTGAAATGCCATTCTGCAAGCTTCACATGGAAACCTGATGTAGTCCCTACAAGGGTGACAAGTGTCTTACTACCTGTGCCTTCCTGGGCCATTGTCTCAAGGACCTTACAAGTCATTCTCATCTGGGTGCTGTGTGGCTCTGTGGTCTTAAGTGGCACGTGGCTCTCACCAGGTTCCTAATACTAATACATTTCACTGTTCCCAGTGTTAAGGCTGTGTCATGGGCTTGCACTGTATTTCTTTGCGGGGGCTCCACTGTGCCACCCGCAAGTAAACAGAGCGATGTTACAGATACATGTCACTCCTACCAGCGATATAAAGCTTGCAGAGCAATCGTCAAAGCCGTGATAGTCACCCTGGCTATCACTTTGTTGGGTCCAACCTGTCCTCTTGTGGCCAGGTTTGCCTGCTTGCTGGGGGATATGAGGGAAAGGAGACTAGCATTCTATCCGGGACCTAGCCTCAGAGAAGAACACTTAGGAACAGGGTAAGTGGTGGCAGCTGAGAAAAGAAGTAGGAGAGGTCACTGGTTTCTAAGGAAAAGAGAAAAAAAGTGCATCAAAATACCAACTGAGCTAACTGAACCTAATAATAATAATAATAATAATAAAAAAACACACACACACAAATCCCCACCAACTGCTGGGATGCCTGTGTGGCTTTGTCGGTTAAGCATCTGACTCTCGATTTCAGCTCAGGTCATGATCTCAAGGTTGTGATGGAGCCCCGCCTGGAGCTCTGTGCTTAGCAAGGAGTCTCCTGGAGAATTCTGTCTCCTTCTCCCTCTGCCCTCCCCCCACTATCCCTGTGTGCTCTCTCTCTCTCTAACGTAAATAAATACATATTTTTAAAAAGAAAAGAAAGGGAAAATGTCATTGTCGATGCGTAAGGACAAAGACTGACCTGCAAAAGGTCCCATGGGATTTCCAACTTCAACTATATTTTATTATCGCTCCCTCCAGCAAACATGGCAACTGGCTATACATTTCATGCTCTCGCTGACTAAGCTGATGGGTAATCAGATTGCTAACATGAAACAGAAGGGCCTGACATCAAAGGATACTTTCAGCTGTGACTGAGCATCTTTCAGGATATCAATATCCTCTCTCCAGACATCAGCTCACGAACGCCGTATACTATCTTTGCTTAAAATTAAAAACCATGAGACACTCCGACTGGGCTCATCAGAAAGACGGTAGCAAAGGAAGAATGAAAATTCCAAGAAGGAAGGATATAGAAATGCTTAAAAATAATTTTGATAATAAAAAAGGAATTCTCTGTTGCAAATACAACAGTCAGAACGTCAACAGCCCAGGGTGCTTCATAGTAAAGGCAGATTAGTGAACCGAATTCATCCACTGCGAACACAGATTATCTGCCCCATTTGAAACACAGATTAACAGGAACAAATAAGGCACAGGGGTGGGAAGCATTTTTACAGCAAGTAACACAAGTTTTAATCTTTGTTTAAAGAAGACTTCAAAAGGATTCCACGTATCGGCCAATAGTGAGATCGTTAAAAAAAAAAAAAAATTAACTTCAAGAATGCAACACAGAGTGACCATGTTTCTGACCTGTTTTAAGATCAATCAACATTTTCTACCTAGATAAGTAGAATGCAATTAGCACTTGGGTGATTTTAAAGGCTCTTTTACGGTTGCCTTTAATCGACTGACGAAATAACAGAATGGGGTGGCTGAAGGCCAATGTTTATTTTTACCCATTACCTGTTTTATTAATGGGACTGTGGGCCACCAGGCCCTCCAGGCACACACAAATATATTAAAATATCCCACACTATAATTAAGTGGCACAGAGGGGATTAGAACAAATTCAGTGGCTGTTATATTTGCCGTCAGTGTAGTCTAGGTCAGACATTCTGATGCTCTTGTGGTAAAGCCAGTGAATTTTATTTCTGAAGTCTACAAAACATGGGATAGATTTTCTTGCAGAGTGAGGGTTTTAATAAATGGCTCTTCTCCCCCAAGTAAAAATATACATAAAGAAAAATGCCCCAAGTGGATGCTGTGACAGTGAAGGAAGGGAACTCCTTAGCCAGAGGAAAAGACAAATGCATCATGAATGGCATTAGTTTAAGAAACAGGATCTTTACAGTCCACTAACAAAAGGACTCAAAATGAATCAAGCCCATGAAACTCTTAGTCCCAGCAGCAGGCTTTCCTTCCTCTCCTGTGTGAGTCAGAACTTCTGCCTCTGAGTTTTTTATTTTTATTTATTTATTTTTTTAAAAAAGATTTTATTTATTTATTTGACAGACAGAGAGATCACAAGTAGGCAGAGAGGCAGGCAGAGAGAGAGGAGGAAGCAGGCTCCCCGCTGAGCAGAGAGCCCGATGCAGGGCTCGATCCCAGGACCCTGGGACCATGACCTGAGCTGAAGGCAGAGGCCTTAACCCACTGAGCCATCCAGGCACCCCTGCCTCTGAGTCTTTTAAAGGGAATACCAAGAAAGTGATCGCCTAACAGTTGGCCTGTTCCATAATTCTAGAGCATCAGGAATGCAGTTCGTGCAGAAACACAGAAGAGATCCTTGGAGGCTCCAGGTCTAACCCTGCCCTGTATCATTTTCTTGTTTGATTTGACCAAATCCGTTGTTGTAACTAAATGTTAGATTGATTTTAAAATAGAAGATCTAAGTAGATTTTTGTTTTCATCAACACGCTCAGAATCAGTGAGAGAATCAACCACACTTGAGGTTAGTGCCAGGGCCATTCTCTTGTGAATCTTCGTATCAGAGAAAAAACCACATGGAATGAGGGTAGGGCAACAGGCAAGGAAATCTGGAAACAGCATTTTGGCTCAAGCAGAGGACAACATTGCCTTTGCCTTAAAAACCTCTGGAGAAATACTTGAAAGTGACAGATGAACAGGAACAAATAAGGAGATAAAAGTACTTACGAGGATCCTGGACTTGCGGTGGGAGGGGGCCCTGGAGAAATGAAAGGAAGACGAAAGAAACAGTCAGGCTGGGTCACTGGAAGGTGAGCGTGGGTATAGTCAAACCATCACAGATGAAAGTTCTCAACCACCACGAGGTGATATTTATTTTTCTGGGATTTATTATTTTGTTTTGGTTCCCCACAATCACCTCTACAAAAAAATGTACCAGTAAGAACCTGTCTAGAGCCCACAGTTCAGGAAAGCGCTAGAACAAGTGCTGACAAATGAGTCACTACAGTAGGCATTCTTCACTACACGGGGGGTTTGCCATGGGAGGCTGAGGCGGGAGAGGTCTCACAGGAGCACGCCAGCTGAGGCGGGAGAGGTCTTGGCTGGCAGCTGGACAGACGAGGGGGCATACGTGCCGTAGACCTTCCCCTCTGCTCTCTCACTGGCATGACGGTTTCGAGCAGGGCTGTGGCACCAGACAGACCCGCTCTACTGTTTACTAACTGGGCAACTCTGCACATGGTCCTTAACCACTGGCCTTGGTTTACTTACTTGTAAAATGGGTGCACCTGGACTGGCTTTAGAAATGGTCCCAGTTTCTGGGCACACAGGATATTTTCAGTATGTGCCCATTCCCTCCCTCCTCACCCTGGTGGAAGCCCTCCCAGGCAGAAGGGGGCTTACCAAACTTGACGAACAAGACTCCAGTGGTAGAAACCACTTTCTTGCCATTCGTTGCCACACACTGGAAGTAGCCTGTGTCCGTGGTGTCGAGGTTTCTAATCCGCAGCCTGGAGCCGTAGTTGGTGGCCCGGAAGGAGATCCTCCGGGGCTCCTGTACCACAGGTGCATCATTTTTGAACCAGCGGATGGTGGGAGGTGGGTTCCCAGAGACTTTGCAGTGCAGTTCCGCCGTCTGCCCGAGGGACGTGGTGATGTTATTCATCGGTTCATCGAGGGTCAGGTAAGAATCTGCGAGCACAAGGCGAAGGAGGCAGGTGAGAGGGGCAGACGGCTAACGGGCACCTCCACGTGACCCAAATCCACTCCGGTGCGCCCCAGGACCCCAGAGAGACTGCACAGGAGGGGCATGGTGGAGACAGACCGGGCACGAGATTACACATTTACCAAGATCCCGTGACTGTGGAACAATCACCCAACAGAGCTTGCTGCTAACATCTTGTCATTAATCCTCACTGAAAACCCAAAGTTTTCAAATGACCGTATGGTAACCCATGGATAAGGAAATGTCCTTTCCAAGCCAAGACAGAATGAGATTTTGTGTTGCAAAGTCTAAGAAAAATACACAGTCCTTGTGATAGACTCAAACAATACTGTGAAGAAGAAAAAGCTACAAAACTCATGTCAAATCTTTCCACCCCAAAATGACACCACTCTTTTAACAAGCCGACAAAGAACCTTCCAGCTTGTCCACTTTTGATAAGAAAGAAGGCATGAAAAACTGGAAGAGTAGAACTACATATTTATATCCACACAGAACCAGATCAGGAAGGATGCTGAAAATCTTCCCGCCTGATGAAAGAAGGCTTCTGGAGGCCAGCCAGGTCGCCAGCAGACAAAGTAATGAGGCAATGAAGAGTTCCATAATGTGACTCATAGCAACCATTAATATGTTACAATATATAATTCTACATGTTCAACTTTTAATTGAAATATAATTTACATTTTAGAAAGTGTACCCATCTTTAGTTATATGGTTCCAGAAGCATCTCTCCACGTAACCTATGCTCTTACCAAGATAGAGAACATCCTAAGATCCTCCGTAGTCAATCCTTGCTTCTGCCTGCACTTCCCATCTCCATTCTAGGCAAATGGCAGTTCTTTTTATTTTTTTTTAAAGATTTTATTTATTTATTTGACAGAGAGAGAGATCACAAGTAGGCAGAGAGGCAGGCAGAGAGAGACGGGTCAGTAGGCTCCCTGCTGTGCAGAGAGCCCAATGCGGGGCTCGATCCCAGGACCCTGAGATCATGACCTGAGCCAAAGGCAGAGGCTTAACCCACTGAACCACCCAGGAGCCCGGCAGTTCTGATTTCTAGCACCACAGACTATTTCTGTCTGCTCTAGAATTGCATATTAATAGAATCAGACTGAAAGGTACATTTTGCATTTGGCTTCTTTAGAGATTTCTTAAACATTTTAATAATGAAGTAAATTTTATTTAAGTTTATTCTGCAATAATATATTTTAAACCTCATATTGATATTAGTTGCAGAATCCAGTTACAGAAAAAGTAATTTACTATTTAAGAAATTAAGTTCAATATATATATATATATATTTTTTTTTTAATAGGCCTGTTGTTCATATATGAGGAGTTTTCTTTGACTTCATGTTCCCTGACCACCCATTCTCATGTCTATCTCCTCTGCCATACCCTCCTCCCATTGCCTTCTGTCCTTCCCTGACCCCCCACCTGGGATGGCTTGTTAAACAGTTGTCCTCTCTGTGGGACTATAAGCCCATAAGGGCAGGCATCTAGAATGTTTTGTCATCGTTGTATCTTTAGCATATCCTTGCCTAGGAGCATTGTCCAGAAGAACTTTCTGTAATGACAGAAATGTTGTACAATCTGCATTGTCTAAATGGCAGCTACCAGTTACAGGTGAGCTACTGAGCACATGAAACGGAACTAGAGCAACTGAAGAACTGAATTTTTTAAAAAGATGTTTTGTATTTATTTGCCAGAGAGAGAGAGAGAGGGGGAGGGAATGTACAAGCAGGGGGAATGGCAGGCAAAGGGAGAAGCAGGCTCCCTACTGAGCAGAGCCTCAGGGAGTACTCAATCCTAGGACCCTGGGATCAGGACCTGAGCCAAATACAGCCACTTAACTGACTGAGCCGCCCAGGCATCCCAAGAACTGAATTTTTAAATTTAAATTTTAACAGCCACACGTGGCTAGAAGCTACCGTATGGCACAGTATAGGTAGAGCATAATAAATTTGTTGAATTTAATGGACCTTTTAAAAAAAATAACCTTTTTTGGGGAAAGAGCTAAGTGGCTAATTTAAGCACCCAAATTCCTATAAAATGCTTTCATAAATGCCAAAAATAAATAATTCATTATGTACCTTAATTTCCCATAAAAATATTTGGGGGGAGATGTCAAAGTCTGGGCAGCCCCCCAGGAGTCCATTACACATGTGAATGACATTTATCTTATGTGAGTGGTAGAAAACAGATTAAGTATGACTATCACTCACTGTGTTACAAGAATGACACTTTCATCCCACTTAACCCAATGAATAATTATCCTTCACAATGCAATCATGAGCCCATAAATTATTTTGCTAATGTCTTGCTTCTTTCCATTTATATTCTGATCTTTATCTCTGAACTTGTTTCTCTAGTCTATATACGTATATACTCAATCTATGAATGTTTTTGCTCACAGATAGGAGCACATGTGTTCCTAAGACGTTTGAGGTATGCCCAGAGAGTAGAGAGACTAATGCCACGGTGGCTTTATGGAGCTGCCATCATGGCCTCATGGCCCTTTCTGCTACCCAGAGCATGGCTAACTCTATGTTCTTGGTAGAAAAGAAACACAGAAATAGCAATGCCAATATAAGCATAGTAATTAGTACTCCACTGGCAGGTTCTGGAACTCTGCTAACCGGGTTTGAATCCCAGGTCAGGCCTGAATTCTGAGTGACCTTAAGCAAGTTACTTAAACTCTGAATACCCCAGTTTAACCGAAAAATAGGAATAATAAGTAGGACTCTACCAGGCAAAACTGCTAGAGGATTTAAATTAAATTGGGACACATGGGATGTACTTAAACTAGTGTTGGGAGGAAACACTCAACATGTTAATCAATGTTACTGCAATTCTTTTTATAATAATAACAATTTTTGTATGATGCTTTCCAGGTTACTCAGTTTTGTGTTCTCCTCTAACCATCTGGCAAAGTAGGAAAGAAGCATTAATTATCACAATGAGGAAATCATATCTCAGAGATGCACTGACTAGGCCTGTGGTCTCTCTGTGAGCTCGGGGCCCATTGTGCCCAAAGCCTCCTACACGAGCAGCCTTCAGTTCTCAGACTCAGCCAAGCACAAAGTCCAAGAGAGCCTGCAGGCCAGTATGGTAGTGAGCACAGATAGACTATTTAGAATCCTACAGTATGCCAGGGACTTGACTTCAGTACTCACTCCTCAATAACCCCACAAGGCAGGAGCTGTTATCAGTGCTTTACAACGAGGAGACCTGGGATCAGAGAGGTTCAGTGACTTGTCCAAGGTCGCATGGCTGAACTGATGTCTAATCCAGGGCTCTCGGACTCCAAAACTAGCTCTTTCCTTTCTGCCAGACTGCTTAGGCAGCTTGAACCCCACTGAGGGGTGGGGACAAAATGTGAGTTTCTTCCCTAAAAACGAGCAAGCAGGGGACCTATACCCACATAACCACAGGGCTGTGATCTGCGCCTAACTCCAGTCAAGATTGTCCAGCGAATGGGTCTAAGCTTTGTCTGGTGGTCTGGTTTCCCTCCAGAAGCCAGGTAATTCACCTTACCTGCTATATGGGGATCTAAATTCCCCCACCTATGCCCTGGCAGGCCCTTCTTCTTCTTCTTTTCTTTTTTAAAAAAGATTTATTTATTTATTTATGGGGGGGGGGAGAGGGAGAGAATCTCAAGCAGACTCCCCACTGAATGCAGAGCCCAACGTGGGGCTCCATTCCACGGCCCTTAGTTCGTGACCTGAGCTGAAAACAAGAGTCAGATGCTCACCTGACTGAGTCACCCAGGGACCCCCTCTATCCTCTTTCAATACTGAAGCTAACTAACACCAAGCCACACTCCCAGAGGCCAGGATGACAGCTCCTGCGTGCATGTCTCAGGGGTTAACATTATCTGCTGAGTTTCGGTCCCCTTTCCTTCTTCTCTTTCATTTTCTCCGACAGGTGGTTGGAGCCAAAGAGCAGAAAGATCCACGGCTAAGTACACCTAACACATCACAGAAAAGAGTGAGCTGGCACGTTAAACTATTTCTCTGACTTCAAACTCCAGGTACTTTGCATGATCCCAGAATCACAGACATACAGAGCTTCCAGTTTGTTCTTCTAGGAACATAAATTAGCCAAGAACCAAAGAGTTCCATAACATGGGGGTAGTTTTCCAATTATCCTCGGAAGGTGTATTCAGATTTATTGACAACAAATTAGTAAGGGCTGATCTAAGGTACAAAATCCACTCTCAACAGACTCGGGTACCAGAATGCCTGAATTCATGTCCTGGTTCTGCCCCTTATCAGCTGTGTGACCTTGGGTAAATTATGTACCCTCTCTGTGTCCCACTGTTGTTATGTATGAAATTAGTATACTAGTTGTGTCTTCTTTATAGGGCTATTTCAAGGATGAAATGAATGTACACGTGGCAAGTGCTTAGAATAGGCTTCTGGCACAAAGCAAGTAACATGAGTTTCTGTTATTTTATTAGCTGTATTTTTCTTTTCTTTTTCTCACAAATATCTTATTCCTTTCCCCCCCAAAGATTTATTTATTTATTTACTTGACAGAGAGAGAGAGAGAGAGAGAGAGAGAGGAAGAGAGGGAGTACAAGCAGGGGGAGTGGAAGTGGGAGAAGCAGGCTCTCGGCCAAGCAGGGAGACCTGATGCTGGGCTTGATCCCAGGACCCTGGGATCACGACCTGAGCTGAAGGCAGACCCATAACGACTGAGCCCCGCAGATGCCCCAAATATCTTATTCTTAAAAGTAGGGAATGATTATTCATCCAACTGATGGGTTTCCTGACCATGTCTAGTCTTGATTTTACAGAAAAGGACACCCCACGGGTGAAGCCACCTGCCTGAGATCACATAACTGATACACGGCAGGCACAAGTGTTTAACTTGTCCGTGAAGCTCCATGTAATACCCACCTAAAAACAAAAATGAGGATTACAGGGCATCTTGAAATCAGTGTAGGAGCTGGCCCACGCCATATTATG